AAAGTATAAAGACTTTATTAGCAAGGAAGTATAAAACTTCTTGCAAACATCTTTTTTGTGTATGGTCAGAGGATCAGCGGAAAGAGTTAATACCTATTTCAATAAAAATAAATTATATATAATAGTATAATTATAAATAAATAAATAAATAAAATATACTCTTTCTATTGATCTTCCACATATATACAAAAAAGAAGCTCGCAAGAAATATTTTATTTCTTTGTTAATAAAGTTTTAATATTATTTTTAAACCAATTTGAAATTTTATTTCAAGAGATACTCCTAAACTTCCTCTTTTGTTTTATTTATTTTTAAATAAAAATTTAACTTCTAGTGATCTAAAAAAGTCAAGAAACACCTTTTTTACCTATATCAAGAATTTTCTGCAAGGAAAAAGAACCAATAGTGTAATATTTGAAACTTTTTATATTGAAACATGTTTATGGAAATTTTTAGTAATAGAAGGTAATAAACATTGTGCCATATTTTTAAGGTATCTGTTTACTATATTTTTCTTTTTATAGTTATCTAAATTTTTTTGATTTTCTAGGGAATTTTGCCTATTTCAGTTTGATCCTGAATTTTAGATACTACAATCTATTGCAAAATATGATTGGTAAACATAAAATATATTAGTAGTTGAATATAAACAAGCTCTTACTAATTACTTCATGTGTTCCAATAATATTATTGATAATAAAAAGAGTTGATTGATATCCTGTTTCTATTTCACTCCTTCAATTGAATTAATCTATAGATCAAGTTTTATGAGATCAATAAAATATGAATAACAAGTTTTCAGGTGATAAAAAAGTTACTATTTGTTCAAGCTAAGATCTTTCTTTCTTATCATCCTGATTAGACAAAGTTCAAAATCAAGATCTCTTTTTTATTCCAGTTAAATAATAAAACTAAATAATCTCTGATCCATACTAAGTTTCAATCCTCTAATTACAATTTAAAATATATTTTTCCAAAAGTTGTTAAAGAATATTGTAATCAATAAGGATTCTTATTACTATTTGAAACTCTTTTATTATTACAAGGCAAAAGAATTATTGAGTAATCTGATCTTTTGAGTAATAAAAGATATTCATTAGTAAAATTCCTTTAACTAGGCATGGCTATTGGAAGATATCATATTGAAACAACATAGCTTAGTTTTTACTAAGTTATATAAGAGCTTAGGATCATTATAAATTGTTTGTTTATCATAGATGAATAAAAAATCATTATTTAAAGAAAGTTGAAACCAAGTGTGTTACTGGAAATAAAGGTTTTTATTAAGTGATAAGTCTCTTTAGATAGTACACAAGAAGATAATCAAAATTAAATATGGATAAGTTCCTCAGATAGTTAGAAGAAGAAAAAATATCTCAATTAATCATTTCTTATTGAAAAGAGATCTTGAGAAGCAGGTTTTTGGAGAAAGCTAGAAATCTTTTTTTCAATTTTTACTTTTCATTTTCTTGTTGTCTATTTAGATATCATCTTTTCAACCCATTCTTTTATAGTATCCTATATTCTAATGGCTAGATGTAATATATAGTAGTAACAATCTGTTGATAATGATGCAATAAACTAGAAGGGTTTTTACCCAAAGATACTGTGAAGCTAAATATTGTTTCCAAGGTCAAACTTAGAGACTTTTATGCTTATGATGAAATAGTTAAATTAGAATAATAGTTTAGTTGTAGTATGTATCATGCTGCTTAAATGAAAATGTACTTATGTTTTCAATTGATTAATAAACTGACAATCTAGCCTGGCTACAAGTACTCAAAAAAAAAAAATAATAAAAAAAAAAAAATAAATATTAAAGTTCAAACAACTTGAAGTTACTTTTAAATAATATTTTCTTGCAATATCAATTTTGACTTGATTATTGTCAAAAAAATACAGATGTACTTGAAATTTTATATACTAAATTTAAATGTGCTGTATAAAGAAATATTAATGTCAAACTATAATACGCTTGTTTGAGTCAAATTTCAGATCAAGTGATTCATTTGGAGAACTAGTCTCACTGTTTCTTCATGACACGTTAATATTCAATTTATTTAAAATGCCACTTACAGGCCAACTAACAGTCTTTCCTAGTATGAAACAGTAGTATTGCTGAATATTAGGGTTGGTCGAATTGTAATGATTAAAAAGAAAATCGTAACGTCAAATCCATGGGATTCCATAAAATCAATTCTTACTGATTCAATCTCGTTTGCCACCCTTCTTGCGGTTTCTGCTTTTATGCTCAGATGCAGATGACGGCTCCGCATTTCTTTCATCATATGCTGAACTCGAACCACTTTCCCTTTTACCATATTGAACTAAAAGTCTATATTCTACTTCTTCCAATTCCCATACATGTGGCGTTAATTCAAGATTTTCTTTTTCTGCGAGGTGAAGCTTATGATAATTTTGTGGCTGACCCGCAGCTGAAGCGCCCATTTGTGACATCGCAGTCATATCTCTCATACCGTCTGCTGCATTATCTTCGCCTAGAAGCAAGGCAAATATACTTCTTAAACCAAAAAGGTTAAGAAAGTACCATGATAAGGATGAAACCCAGGTAACATCCATGTCAGAAGTTTCGACACCACGTTGAAGCATGGACTTAAAACGGAGTGTAAGGGGGAAGGGCATCTTGACTATGTGTAATAGAGGTTGTTCAGAAAATAGTGGCGGCGAAACATTCTGATATTATTTCTGACCTAGAGTTGATCTTACGTACTTAACACAAATCCCGAAAAGAAGAAATTTACCCAACCCATGATAATTGTTTGTGGTACAATCATTGCAAAATTCTTCTTCATTCCTTCCATCATCATCTCCATCCCTTGAGGATCAGTCATTGGATTCACTACTTGATTCATGGCTGCCGGATTTTTTAAGTAATCGCCTTTTTCATACGCGCTCGTTAAGTAATTTTTTCTATTGAAGAAAGATGATGGGGGAATGTGATTTCCATAACTTCTTAATGTGGCACCACGCGTTAAAACTTTCGTTTCTCTTATTGCCTTTAGGACGGGTTTCTTTGGGATTCCGCCTAATAGTACTGTAACTTGATCTCTAAATATACCGACTAGGACCATTACTATCATGATTGGGATCAATACCCAATCACGTATGGCTGTTAAAAGACACAAGCACTTTAATTCTAACTAAATGTCAATGATGTGAGCGCGTGGTGCTGTTCATTTCTAGCTTACCTGGATCTAGATACAAAGCCTGGCTATCATGATTCAGAATAAAAGATTAAAAACATTGATAAATAAAATCTTTCGCTCCGAAGAAAATCTCTAAGCGCACCTTTCAGCCAATGAACTTGCTACTTGATGCGACATTACAACTTTCAATTAAATTTCTTTTACCAGCGAATTTTTAACGTCGTTTTTTTTATTTATCAACAATTTTATTGGATCGATCAAACTGTGTAAAGTTCGTGCGCATGCTTAGATTAGATATTATGAAATAATATTATGAAATACTTATTATTATTACACAAGGTGTAATATTGGCGACGTGCCCGAGAGGTCCAAGGGGTCAGATTCAGGGTCTGATATGGAAACATGCGTGGGTTCGAACCCCACCGTCGTCAAATTCGCATTTTAGATTACAATAATATAAAAAACTTAGACATCATGTACGTGTGACATTTTATTTATTAATATAATCGTATAAATAAAAGGTTGTAATTTATTGCAGATTAACAGAACTAAAGAGAAAAAAGATATGTCTACTTAGGCACATAATTATGCAATGTCAAATTGCGTCTTCGTTTTATATTTGTAATTCAGAAATGCCCTCGAAATCGAAATCATTTTAAATAATTTATCTAACAAATAATGTTACATGTTAAAGGAATCAACATCACAACAATCCCTTCTACTAAATGCTACGAATAATTAGATTTAAGATCTGATGACTCCCCTCGAATGTCGACCCGATACAACTTCGATATATAAACCGGATTTATTTTACAAAAATTACACCGTTTAGATTGTTGACAAAATGATGTCTTAATTCGCGAGTGCCCCGATCCGCTTTATATGTGGTAAATTCAGCCTGCGATTCACGATGTCAAGAGAGAATGAATACATTAATAAAAAGTCAATTCACCAAATTACAAACATCTAATCGACATACCAAGATGGGACGTAGCCTTCCGGAGGGTGCACCTCGCGCGGGAGGGGAACCTCGAATGGACCCGAATCTTCCAACGGTGTTGTGTCAAGTAATAAGATATCATTCTTATCAACAACCCGATGTGCGACTGCCTTTAAAATTTCGGGACTGATTGGATTCTGTAGGGGTGTTGGCGTAAAAGTGAGGACACGAATTGGATGGATTCATTCCTTCGAGATTAATGCTCAAGTTACCTCATAATCCGCGACGAAATAATGGCTTATAAGTTTTTGAATCTGAGTTGGGGTCAACATCCAACAGACATCATAAATGATTTCAATATCTCCTAGCGATGACTATTTTTCAAATCATTTAGTCGGGGGTGTATACTTTATAGGTTATGAGAGATGAGAACGAAAAGAAGAAATACCTTCTTGAGTTGCAGAAGCTTCGTAGCTTGCATCAAGTGTTCCAATTGAAGTGTTCCCTCCGGAATCTCATGACTTTTACACCATTCCTCAATTCTTGTGATGTTGTATTGAATTTGCATTGCTTCAGATTATTTCCGGAAACCAATGAGATCCTTGGTTAGTTTCGTTAATATTACAAATTTAAGAAACATGAATAAAAAAGAAATCTTTTTTTTTTCTATCAGACCTCGTTTCCAAGAACAGAAATTACGCCTGGGGAGTTGAGATAACAAAAAAAAAAAAAAAAAGGTGGGTTATTTTATTCCATGAATTCTGTCTTAAACTTCAGATACCCTTACCTCATCAGCAAGTCGTTAAACGATGTGACTCCAATAAGTTTTAACAATTCTGTAACCACTTGCTGAATAACCGACATTTCCACATAATACGACTTCATCGCCTTCCAAACTTTGTTCAAGAAATTTAAGAGGTCATCCATGTTGAATGCAGGGTTCGCAGGGCCGTTTAAAAACTTTGTAAGAAATCGATTATTTTCATTCGTCACAAATCCAGGTAGCGATTGACTCTCAACCACCGCGGGAATAATCATCTTGAACAATCTCTTCTTGAGTTCTTTCATCCAGGTGTGATATACATTGTACTCCAAACTTTCCAAATCATGTTTCACAATGGATACAAGCCTTTCGTAATCGTGCCATTCAAAGTTTTTACTACTGGAGTTGGCCGGATTCAACCCATGAAGCATATCTTTCTCGGCAGAATTCGCGAACGACAGCAGTTCGTGAACATTAGAGAGCCAATACGCTCCCGGAAGAATTGCATCATCACCTTCACAATCCTAATATATACATTCGATTGATTAGGCAACTTGGAAAAGCGGAGAATCAGCAATTAATTTAATTGACAAGTACCATGACATGTTCTTGAATAGTCTTCATTACATTCGCAAACAGTCTTTCCGATTCTTTTATGAAACCAAATTTCCACATTTGCTTTGCTAAAAGACTGATTAGCCGAGAGGGGAATAATATTTCTTTCGGAGACGGTGGATTTTGTAAACTTGGGAGCGGTATCTTTAATGATTTGATTAGGCCATTAATAACTTCTTCGTCTAGAATTTCATCATCCTCGAGCAATTTCATCATCTATCCATAGAATATGTTAAATCCATGTCAAATTTAATCAACGGGGACAAAGAAAATTAGAATGTGATCATGATTCTTAATTCAACTGACCTCTTCTTCGGGATCATCATCTATCCCGCTTAAAACAACTCTTCCGCCTGGTGATCTGATCTTCGGAACAGTCATTTGGGTGTAAGAAGCTGATGCTGGTCTTAAACCGGGCTTTGACCTTGCTTCCGTCGGATCGACAAACATTTTAGGCTTACGCCTAATTTCATTTGGCACCAAGGAATCGGCAGAACTGTGTCGCCTGGGCCTTCGTTTCTGTGGTGGTTTAAGTGTGTTGGACGTGCCAGCCGCTGCCGTCAGGAATCCATTTTCTTGGCGGTGCTGAGAGCTTGGAGGCGTAGCGTTACTCGCGTTGCTCTTAACCTTTGTAAGTTGTTCCCTCAGCGAAGTGATCTCTTGTTTCAACGCAAGAACAGTAGCCGGATCTTCGGCACCCTTCCATTTATCCGCACTTGCACGAAGTCTGGAAACCTCATCATCCTTTTTGTTAATTTCTTCCGTAAGACGCTTGATCTCGCTGTCTTGTTTCTTAATATTTTCAAGAGAAGTACGATAGCGAGATTCAAGGGATTCTTTCTCCGATTGTATAGACTTGAATTCGTCTATAGAGATGGTTGCCTGTCTTGTCTCCGCTTTGAAGTTTTTACTGTCAGTTTCCAATTTCTCATATTTTTCAGTCCATGTTCTGATTTGCCCTTCTAAAGTTAATATTCTCGTCTCCAAGGTCTTATTCTCCGAGTTCTTTTGCTCCAAGTTTTGGGTGAGCTCGATAACCTTATTTTCAAGTTTATAAGATACCTCTTTAAAGTGGCTAGCGGAGCGAGCTTCGATCTTCAATTTCTTGAGTTCAGCTCTTGCCAACCGACGACGGAGGCATGACTGAATAAATACAATGTGTCTCATGGTCTTCTTGTAATCACGGCGACACAACCTAAATCGAGAATAAAAAAAGATTCGTCATAAAATTTGCGAATGTTGGAATTTGACAGCGGCGTATGTGAAAAATCATGTACCATCCGCGATATGCCGCTTGAATTTTAGTCGCAGACGCATCTCTCGAAAGCTCATTGAATTTATTTTTCGCGATAACGCAGCGTATAGCTATTAAAAATAACGAACGGTTAAAATCAGATGATAACGACGAGATCTAGATCGAATAGTCGTCGAATAAAGGAAGTTGAAAAAAATATTTACCAACTTGGAGTTTGCGAACGCAGTTTAATAGACGCAAGTAACGCTTCCGTTGAATATCTCTCTTCCAATACTTTTGAATCGTGACAGCAGCCCTGTCCTCGCGAAGTCGCTGAAGTTCTCGCATCGAGATACCCTTCCTGATTAAGGATTGTAATTTTACGGTAGTAGCTTTTAGCATTTCGTATCTCTTCCGATACATATGACGAAGCATATTTTTTTGCATTAAAGTCACGCATTCGTTCAATCTATCGAGACGAAGCTTTTCCAAATATGCAACCTGAAGAAACAATTGACGCGTCATTGTCATTAATAAATTTGTATATTTTGATCCAGTTCTTGGTAGGAGTAAAGGTTTTCACGAAACATACCATGCCAGCGCGGAAGAAGAGTTTGGTAATTCCGATTTGGAACTTATCAGGATCCTTAATTGACACTTCAAGGATGATGCCGCAAAGTTTTTTAGGATCCGGACACCATTCCTTCGAACGGACAAGCATGTAATATCTGATCCCAAGGAAATTGCAATGAGCGGATAATTAAAAAAATAAGATGATTAAAAAAAAAAGTAGGATCATAATTAAAACCTTTGAACAAATTCGTCGAAAGTCCAACGAGACGGATACCCAGCACAACTAATTCTAATTGTCTCCAAAACACCACATGCACGAAGTTGACTGAGGACCATTTGAGGTTCAAATTTCCACGCGGCCTTGGCCTCATTTGGTTTGATACATCGAATGTAATGAACATTGGTCGAATTGATAGTTTCCATGAGACTTATCAAAGAACCCTGGGATAGTAATTAATATCCTAGTTAACGGTGATATGAATTTTTTATCATAAATTTTTAGGTGCGTGTCACTCACCTTGAAAATTGAACCCAATGTGGGCTTTTTCGAGGACATACTAATGCGTTTCGTATCGGTCTACGAATGAGAAATGGGACGTTAGCTTTTACACTGTGCAGGTGTTCTTTTAATTGTAAAGAGTTGCTATACCTTGGTCGGTGACGCTGCAGGGACACTTTTATTCAAAACTTCTTCCAAAAATTCAAACTCTGTGCTCCTTAGCAAGTTTAAATGTTCATCGGGTACAGTGTCCCGGTTTTTTTCCAAGAAATTTTCAACTTCATAAGTGACCGCATTAGCATAATGGTTGATGGTAAATGCGGTATTGGAAAACTTTGGTTTCTGGAAATATTTGCTGTGTGGTGGACTCTTAAAGTTTTGGTAAAGCTTATTGCATAAAGAGTCATCGGTACCAGCTGGTAAACGACTTTCCTAATAGGAAATAACAAATAATTCGAAAATCAGAATGAGAAAAACTATCGAATATTAATAAGATCAATCTACCTCGTCCAAAAGAGATAGGATTCCTATCTTTCCTTCGATTAAGTCAATGCACGGCTGATTATCGCTGAAGTCAATAAATGTCCAGTTGATTTTCTCGCGCACATATTCCTATAATATGAGATGCAAAAAATGATGGGATCAATAACAATGGGGAAATAATGAATGATAAGAAGCATTGGATCTCCTACCTCTTGTTCCAATTTGAAGACGTGTTGATTAAACTACAAAAATGAAATAAGATTGTGAAGAACGAAGAATAATAGATAATGGATTGAGAATTAAAGAGGTAAAAATACTTGTTGTTGCAACTTTTCATTTGCATAATTAATACAAAATTGTTCAAAGGAATTCTTCTTGAAATGCTCGAACCCATAAATATCAAGAACACCAATAAAACTCTTTGCGCTTTGGATAGCTTCGTCGACGGACAGACTTTCATTAATCACGCTAACTAGCCAATCAAATAAGTTTGCGTAAACATATTTTGCGACGGAATCTCTGACGACTGTGGCAGCCTGTTGATTTAAATCTGTAATGATCTTTTCGGTTCTAGCAATAATTTGTTTTTTTACTATCCACTTTCTAAACTCAGCCGATTTTATGCCAAGTAAATTTGTGGCAATCTTTAAGGCAGCATCATCTTCCGAAATCATTGCATAATTTCGACTCGCTGTAATCTGTATATTGCCAATGTGCAAAAGAGCCGCACAAAGTCTAAAGATTTGCCACTGCGTCTGGATTGTAATTCCCACTGTGGATAGACCTTTTTGCGTAATCTCAAATTCTTGTGCATCGTTGACACCAGGTATTGTGCCCACACCTCCCTGCCGTAGGTAGTGGAATTTACGATAGTCCTCATAGAGATCAAGGTTTTTTCTTTCCGAATGTGGAGCACCAGCACAAAGCTAAAAAAAAAAAAAAAAAAAAAGAGCATTGAAAAAAAGGAGAATTATGACTCAGTTATTTTGCAGACAAATAAGACAAATAAATTTAAATTCTTTTTTTCTAATACCTGGTAAAAGATATGGTAATTCCTTTCGCTTTCGGGTTGATACACTAATCTCGAACGTTCTAACAGATAAGTCCTAATTTTGGCGCCAATAATATTTTGTTGATTGTCGAATTGGATCTGCACACACACAAAGAAAATCTCACTGAGAACACGAAATATAAAATGAGGCCGAGCTTAAATAATAATATGTACCTCGAGGTACTTTCCGAATCGAGAACTATTGTCATTTCTTGTCGTTTTCGCGTTACCAAAAGATTCCATGATAGGATTGGTAGCTGTATAATACAATATATCATATATATAAAATAAAACTCAAAAATAGAGAGGAAAAATATCTTCGCAACAAATGTGCGTACCCATTATTTGTTCTTCCACCTTGCTCATTCCAGAAGCGCCAGCATTAATTTTCTTCGAATCTGGTACTTTTTCCTTGTCATCAGCAGATGCGAGATATCGCATGATAAATTTGGCACTAGCAGTTTTACCAGCACCACTAAAAAGATAAAAAAAAGTTATAAACTGAAACAGATTTCGAACGAAATTTGGGGTCAAATATTTTCAAGTAACCTTTCTCCCGAAACAACAATTGTTTGATTCTTCTCTTCTCGAATCATACATCGATAAGCATCTTCGGCGATGGCGAACAAATGAGGCTCTAATTCACCACGACGTTTACCACTATATGCATTGATAATATCCTGAGAGTATAAAGAAACGGGATAAAATGGATTCGTGGCAATCAAGACTATTCCAGAATAGGTGTATATATTATGCTGTAGGTATCGTGTCTTGATTGTATGAAGGACTGAAAACGGAATTTTTTAAAATGTTAGCTTATTACAGGAATTCTGGGTCAAAATTCTCATTACGCAGAAATCAAATTATGACCGGTACAAGTTAATTGAGAAAATATGGTATCAATATACGGCGTATAATACAACCTGCTGGTTCATTAAGATGACTCAAACTTGTTAGATCATCAGCTGCCTCAAGCGCGGGAGGATTGCGTAAAGGAGGTAGTTCTGCATAATTGCTTTGTTTAAGTTTTTCAAGCGTGGTTGTAATAACAACATCCTAATGAATGGAATATATGAATTTGTAGCACTTTATAGTAATAACACTGTTGAGAACATCCTTATTTTTATTTTTATTATTTTTTTTTAATAGGTTCGACGATAATTTGGGCTAAAAGATGCGTTTAAAAGATTTTTGTGTATGATTATGAAAAGGTTGAATATCTATGAGATGCGGATGTATATGTACGGGCTTTACCGCTCGTTTCACGTAATGAAGGCACACTACTGTTGAGCCTTTCTAAACCAAAGAGAGGTGTCGTGAATCGAAATTGATGAGGTTTAAATAATTACCTTTCCATCATCGGTCACGAAGGATAGCGAAATTTTAACCTCATCCACAGTTTTTGAGGCCAGCTGACCGCTTATCCAACCTTCTCTTTCATCAGGAAACCATACTGTTGTTCCCTTCCCATATACATCCAAAGTGTTCGACGCCATTGTATAATAGATTGAGAAGGAACCTGATTTATACGTATAGGGGGCAAGGTCAGAGTATAAATTTCACGGTTACTTGTCGAATCTAATCATGACATGTAACTTAACATTGTTACGCCACCATTCATATACCAAATGCGGTAACTTAAATTTGAAAGTTCGTTATTACGTGTAAAATATCCATTTATAGATTATAATAATATACAGTCAAATTTATTAATGTTCTTACTCTTCTTTATTGGATGATAAACAAACAAATAATAACATTCTCACATGATGACTGATTCATCTTTGTACAATAATAGTTAAAGAATTAAATTATTAAAAAGGTTTATTAAGTTAATTATTTAAAAGATAATATTTCATTTCTTCTTAGATATTGTACTTAAGTCTTCTGATCAAAAAAATTATTATAAAGATTTTTTACATGTCTATTTTAATTAAATATTAAATTTTTTTATTATTAATCTAAAAAAAATTTTTATAATTATTTAATTTAAATTTTTTTTTCTTTTGATAATATATATAGTATACTGTATATACTGTATATATTTTTTAAAAAATCACTGTGTTTATTAATTTTTATAGAGATATATAGTACAATTGCATCATGGTTAAACTAAATCTTGTATTAATTTACTTATTAACAACTTGCAATTTTCAAAAAATTTTTGATTTTTAAGTGCAATCTTAGAAACAATATTTTATTTCATAATAAATTTTGAATAAATACTTTTCTAATTTATATATTATTATTATTAGGTTATTATTACTTATTATTTTTCAAAAAACTGATTTTGAAAAATTATAAAAGAGAGGAAAAAAATAAAAAAAAAGTGATTTCTAAAATTTACAAGTACATTATATAAAAAAAAAAAATTGAAAAAAAGTTTAAAATATTCTATATTTTTCAAAAAACTTTTATTAAAAATCTTATCTTATTAAAAAATAATCTTTTTAAAATAATCCTTTTCTTTCTAATTATTTAAAGAACTTATCTATTTATAATTTTAATTAATTCTTTGTAACTATTTGAGATACTTATTACTTATTCAAATTCAATATCTTGTTCAATACTTTTTTTTTTTTTTTTTATATTGATTTTATATTTATTTATATAAATCAATAACTTATAATAAATTCTAAGTAGACTTGTAGATCTATAGTACAGTGATAATGCTTCTAGATTACAATCACAAGATTTATAATTTAATATTATATAAAGACTATGTGAAAGATTTATGAAATAGAAAAACCATCTATAACACAAAACATAACTGGGTCTAAAAAAATATTAATTATCTCTATTCTGGTTTCATATAAACAAGGTTTTCACACTTTCAGTTCTAAGCAGATTTTTCTTTTTATAAAAGACGCAATCAACATAGCTAAATACAAACAAATATGGGAAAGGTACAAAATCAGTAACTGTACTAAACCTATCAAGAATTATTTGAAAAATGTACTTTTTCTTTCACAGAACTAGCAAGTCAAGCCTGATTAGTTAGTTGAGAGAAATCCAGAAGGATTGAAGATTCAAAAATAGGGTATCTAGATTTTCTAGATAGATAGTAGTAGAAATTTAATCTAATCGAATATTTTCAAGCAACAAGCTATCCGATGAATTCTTTAAAAATAGGGTTCTAGGAATATTTGTCAACATAAATAATAGAAAATATATAATCTCTGCAATTAAATTTGTAAATTACTTTATCAAGTTAATAAACAAGGCTGAGCTGCCATTTCACAAAAAAAATAGATTCTAAGTTTTTATATAGTCTTTTAATCATATTATATAATTTTCAATATCTTTTATCAATTATATATAATTAAAATAACTTTACTTATAAATATATTTCATTGTTCAAAAAGTCAGATTTCCCAATAATTTTTTTGTTTTGTAATGATAAAAAAATTTTATAATAATGATATAAATTCTTATTCATTAAAATATTATTATATAATATTTAGAAAAATATATTCTTAATTTTAAATAAAAATAGTAATTTACAATTCTTTATTTTTTTTCAAAATCACTCTTTCTGCTAATCCTCTAACCACACACAAAAAAGATATTCATATGAAGTTTTGATACTTTTTTGCTAAAAGAGTTTTATTACTTTCCTTAAACCAAACTAAAGAATACCTTTAGAACTCTTTTACACCCCTTATATCTTATTTATAATTTCCTTTGAACAAACTAAACTCTTGTGACTTGCAAAGTTCAACTCTTATCTTTACTACCAATGGCAAGAAAGTTCTTAAAGGGAAAAGGACTAACTATAGAGTAACTCTCACCTCTCAACTATAGTGAAGATAATAGAAATTTTATTCCAGTCAAAGGACTTACTGTTCTACCCTTTAACTAATGTTGTGACTTCTTAGAGCTACAGTTTTTTGAGGAATTTTGCCTACTTTAGCTTGACCCTGAAATTTCAGATAGTACAAATCTCACTAATTCTGATTGACTAATATGAAACATGTTGGATAAGATTAATAAACAAGCTTCTATTGATCACCTCACATATCTGAATGCATTTTCTCAACTCCATAAGAACCTGAAATCTATTATAAGTCATACTATCTAGTGCAGGTAGATATAGGACATATTATTAATATGTTATTGAATACAAGAAAGAGTCCATCCAATCATTGTAAAGGTCACAAGATACTTAATTGACCTTTTTCAAGTTAGAGCCACCTATATTTTGATTGTATGTCAGATAGGTTTCAACCTCTACTGTCTGAAAAAGTTTAAACCAGAGAAAGTATGGAACTATCAGGAATACTCAGTAGTAAAGCTTATGTGCAAAGCAATCCAAAAAGTTTTCGTTCTATCTTCAAAAAATCTCAAACTGAAAGACTAGAAGGTTAATGTTACTACATCAATTGAAACTCGAGTCTGAAAATGTTAACAATGATATATAAACTAGCCAGATAATTTGAAAGATCCTTATTGATCATTAACATCAATGGCTACCAACAGGATATATCTATAATGAAACTAGGTACTGTTCTTTCTATAAGGAATTAAATCTGAAATAAGATGCACAAATAGATAAGTATATCTATATTTAGATAAGAATGGGTTTAATTGATAATATATTAGAAGATTCTCAAGTCAATTATGTGAATACCAATATATCACCTAGACCTTCCTGATTACTTTCTCTCCACAAGCCTTAAAACTATAAAGTCTCTTTTGATGATCTTCATCTTATCTCTATAAAGACTCAGTAAAAAACATTTTTCTCTAAACTCTTTATAGTGGGAACCAGAACAAGACAGGTATGTGTCAAGAAACAGGACTGATACAATGTATATGACTATTTAATTTTTAACTTTATTTTTTTATTTTCATTTTATAATACCAATATACTTTAAGGATATCAGTTTTTCTTTAGTAAAAGAAAGAATAATAGATCTTGAAATAGCTTTAGTAATAGTTTTATCTTATTATTATCTTTATTAATCCCAAATATACACTTATACATCTGCACTTTGCATAATGTTTATCTATAATTTGGATATCAATAAAATTAGACATGAGCCTATCAAAAAAAAAAAAAAAAAAAAAAATTTTTTTTTTTTTATTTTT